AGTGAGTCCCTAACTAAAATTAGTGGATTTCCTTATTTGATGCTTTCTTCTAAAATGAGAGACTATTTTAAAATTTTAAATCTGCAAAAGGATCCTTGAAAGGTTTCGTCTGTATCTCTCTTTCTCTTAATCCAAAATTCTATTTATAATTTCCCTGCCCGTTTTAGAACGGAGGACTCACATATCTGTCACCAGTTCTTTGATTGTCCAAGGTAAGTTCAAAACCCAAAAAGAACCTTTCTCATAGGTTATAACTCAAAACAGTGTTAGTTATTATAAGACTCAACATCGAAGGACGTGCACAAGTGGGGCTATGCCTTTCACTCGAGTTCTTTTCAGTTAGAAAATGTTATTCTCATTAAAATTGGCTGCATTAATTTTGAGCATTTTTCATTCTTGGTTTTGGTCACCATGCCTACAGGATACACAGCCTTCCCACTGGACTGCTCTGTGTAATCTTCTCTAATTTGGCTTCTCGTCTATCTGTGTTTAGACATCTGAGCTCATCACTACACTCTCCTTTCTCCAACTGTTGTTGGGCTCTTTTCCATGCCCTTGACTGCAAGCTGGACAGTTACCCAGCAATTTCTCACTCAATTAAGATGGTATCTCAATAGCAATAGCAGTCTTCTCAGCTAGGATATAAAGAGGATTTTCTATTGTCCTCAGCCAACACGGGAGAATTCTGGAGAACTGCAGCCAAATGTGAGATGATTCTTAATTGGGATGGATGGTCTAAATACTGTCTTCTATTTTTTATAATGTTCCCTTTTGAGATGGATTTTTCCTGTACAACACCATGTATAACACTGCAGTTTTCATATTCCACAACTCTGGGACCAGGATCCATTCATACAGACTGCAATGAGAATGGTTGTCCCTTAAAGGTTACGGCCTGACAGCCATTCATGTGGCACGTATATTCTAAGACACATTGCTTATTAGCACTAAAAGAGAGAGTATATAAAATCTAACCCTATTTCTACCTCTCACAGATGAGGAACTAAGGTCCAATCTGTGGAGGGTCTTATGCATTCTCATATAGCTGGTTATTTATCGAGTGGATATATGAGTTCACGTATAGACCCCACATCTCCTCACAATAATTCACATTTCATTCTTATAGCACTTTGTGGGGGATAAACTTTTCTCTAACATACAAAGTTATTCTAAGATTTTTTGTTTCGTGAAATTATAAGACCTAAACTAACCAACACAGAAATTGTCACCATTTAAAAGCCATTTGTAGTTGAAGAAAATCAAAATTGTATTACAAAATTCTTTGCATTAAACAATATATGCCATTCTTAAGGACGAGTCCCTACTAGCATGGAAAATAAAAGCATAGGCTTTCAAAAAAAATTCTAAAAGAAGACACACAATGATTTTTTAAAAAATATTCAACCCTGGACAAAGCCTACTTTTCTGTTGCTGTTTACTAAATAGCCTAAGATTTATCTTCGATGGCTAGTTTATTTATTAAATGAGGAAAATGTATGAATGTGCTTAGAAGTGAAAGACCAGGATCCCTAGAACTATTTTTAAGGTTCATTGTTCGACCCAGCCGTGCTTATTTTCTTCCCTGGTCCTTGATTTACTAGGTTGTGAAAAGAGGTTAGACTAGATGATCCCTAAGGATTCTTACCATCTGCAGTATTTTCCAATTCACTTTCCTGGAATTAGGTAGAAGGTAAGGACAAATGGTTGTAGTAACAGTACAGGAGTCTTTAAAGAGTCCAGGATACCCAGTATAGGATGGCTGATTTTCAGCCTTGCTGCCTGTATTCCCTTTTACTGGGACCGTTTGGCTCTGCTACTCATAGCTCATATATGCTGCTCTCCTTACAATGTACCAGATGGACCTATAGTGAAATGTCCGGATGTGACCCTACCACCACCGCCCCCATTTTCTAAATCTTGGAACTGCGCAGCCTTGAAGCAGCTTGCTGGCTCCAAGCTGGGTATTTGTTTACTTGGCGTTTCCCATCATCTGGGAATTCTCACTCAGGACTCTCTGTTCCGTGTCCGTGGTCATCAGCCCCTTGGTCTCTGCTCTCGGCCTCCTCGCTGATTATTCACTTGCACGGTTCCCCTTCACGGCTCATCTTTTTCATTTTTTTCATGTCAGTATATTTAAAATCAGGCCTGGTATTTCTGGATCCCTTCTAACAAAACTTTGTTTATTTTTCCCCTTCTTCTTTCTCTCCCTGTTAGATCATCTGTGACTTTCCTATAGTTTCATTCCAGCAGCAACTGCAGAGACTAGATCGACGTAGTTTAAAATGTTCCCATTTGTTTACTGGAAACTTCCTTCTCAGTCCAGGTCTTCTTTTCCTCAGGCGGTGTCATCTTCTATGGGATAGCTCTTGGTGTCTGAAACCTCCTTGTAAACTCGAACAATACGCGCCTGGTGCGCTGGAAATTTTAGAATTTCTATGATGTCCTGAGCTAATTCTCCAAACTGGTGAACATGATGATTCATCATGTTTATGATTTTGTGTCATGCTGTATGGCACATTTGCCCTTAAAATAGGGAGCTTACCCAGGTGGGCTTGGCACAATCACACGAGTCCTTAACAGCAGAAGGGGAAGTCAGATTGGAAGGGTTTGGACTGTGGCTGTGAAGGCAGAAAGGCCATTCAGAAAGCAGGAGGAGGAAGGCGGGTGGTCACAGGAGCGGACAACCCCTGGCCAACAGCCAGCAAGGAAATGGGGACCTTCATCCAACAACTAACAGCCACATGGAACTGAGTTTGGCCAACAACCGAAGTGAGTTTGGAAGCAGATTCTTCCCCAGAGTCTGCAGGTGAGAGCCCCTCTGGCCCCATGTTGATTTTGTCCTATGGGACCTTAATCAGAGAACCCAGTAATACTGGGCCCAGACCTCTGGCCTACTGAAACTGTGATGTAATAAATTAGTGTTGTTTTAAGCTGGGAAATTTGTGGTGATTGGGTCCACAACAACATCAAGCTAATTAGTATTCCCACTATGGGGCGGCTTTGGTGCTCCTGCCTCTGAATTCAGTGCCCGCAGAGGTGGGATCTTTGGGATCAGTGAGTTAAAGTCCTTTCAAACCACAAGATTCCCCAAATACTGAGGTTAGGGGACACTTCCAATTAACGTTTTAAATAATTCTAATTTAGAATTGCAAAATTGCTTTATTTGAAGAGAAATGTGAACAACCTGGCACAGAGTTTTTTTCGTACTCAGTTACCAGTAGCTAAAAATCTCCAAATGATGCCCTGCACTCACCTAATGAGACAGTGTGGGGAGGGAGGCATGGATGTGGTTGATATTGGACCAGTCATGGGAGAAATTAGTCTCTTTTAATGCAATTTTAGAGGGAAATAAAACAGAGGGAAAACAATTTGCAAAGGTGAAAGGAGGCTAGGCCACACAAAGTCAGAAATACTACAGAGAAGTTGATAGATAAATTCCTAGAATTTAGTTCAAGCTACTTGTAAAACAGCCATTGTCTGTAGAGGTACGGAAAATTGGGTTGGAGAGAAAAAAAAATCTGCATAGTTAAAGTAAAATCCAGGCATTATTCGATGTTATGTCTTTTCTTTGTGCCTCACTACAAAATGAAGAATAAAGTAGGAAAATGTAGAAAAATTGTATTTTTCCTGAGATAATTTGAATTTGTGAATGTCAAACACAAGTTAACAGGAGAATAGTATTAAAGATAAAAGAAAGTTAGTTGTAACATTGCCCTGAAACTTTTAAATTCTCCAAAGGGATTTCACCTTAAAAAACCTTAATATAAAATATGGGTTTAAATGCTTTGTGAATGAACAAAGTTGGACATATTCAAGTTGGAAAGCATTTTCAATGAAAAAGACCTACAATTGTCAGAAATCATCTCTAATTTAACAATTTGGAGATATTTTTTATCAAAGTGTTTTTCATTTCTGTAGATCTATCTGTATCATTTGCACATCAAAAATTATCATTATGTAAACAAACTTATTTTTATAGGAATAAAAATATAATAACATGCCAGTCTAGTAACTTCTGTGGCCCAAGTACAAATAATAGCAGAAGCCGTCTACAAAACCGGGGACTTGAAAATTTCAGACTGTCGGAGAGACAAATGATTGTATACAGAGATCTCCAAAATTGCCCTGCTGTTGGGTAAAGTCCAGTAGTGACTGATCCTAAACTCAGCCTAAAATAAACCTCTGGCTGGGTGTACCCAGGTGGTGGCCGTGGCAGCCCAGTATCAGCTCTCTGGGGTGTACAATGAGCCAGAGCACAGGAGATGGCAGGCCCAGGCTGGTGGCTCAGGGAGGGGCTGAGAGGACTCCACGGGGCCTGAACTGGGAGTACTGGTTAGTCAGGTGAGGAGGAGCGGTGGGGAGGGGGAGAGCCTTCCATGCAGAGGAAACAGCGAGGGAATGCGGCCACGCACGTGACTTCCTTCTGGGACGGGGACGTTGCCAGCTATGATGAAAACATTACCTGATATTTTCACACATTTCATAGTTAAAATGTCCATATCTCTTCTCTTACAGTATTTTCAAAACAGCTTGTTGAGAATTGCAAGGCAGGAATTTACTACCCTGGTTTTAAAAATGAGGAAATCAGGGTTCCGAGGGAATCAAGTGGCTCTCCCACAGGTCATCGCAACTGACAATCTGACACAAGCTGCTGTCAGAAATGCTGCTCTGAAAGGGTGTGTCATTTACATACATTTTACAGTATGTTGCATTGTTATACATGTTAGCTTATTTAACTGCCATTTTTAGGTATTATCACTAGGCTCATCTCCTAATTGGAAGTAAAGAAACTGAATGTCAGAGGATTTGCATAATTTATCCCAAATCACACCAGCTGGTAACTATGAAAACTAACCTTAATATCTCCATTGTCTTCCCTTCCCTTTACGTGAAATGATAAAGACCCACTCGAGTGATGGAACAAGCCCCAAATAACTCCCATGCTAGAGTTAGGCAGTCACATGGGCAAATCAAGACTGCTTAATTCTGTTTCCTTATAGGCTTCCTTCCCACATCACCACATCCAACGCTGGAAGCTGCCTATAATTTTCACTGTGGCAAAGATCAAGGTAAGATCATATTTGTCTTGTGTATATTTCATTGGTCAAATAGCTACGGGCCAACATCTGCCAATAGAACATTAAATATCCATCTGCTTATTGTGTCAAAGGAGAGCTCCTTCACAATTTTTTAGGGGGAAGATAAGAGAAATGGGAGAACGCTTGACAGATGATGGGGGAGGGGGAGTGGGGGGGATGCTGATTCCAGGAAAATGGAGAAACTTGGAGGAAAGCCCAGAATTTGGAGTGGGAGCTAAGGAGGGAGACACAGGGAAAACAATGGAGGTGATAAAGACAGACCTAAAGTGTAAGGAGGCCTTGAATGTCAGGACAGGAAATCTGAAATTGATGATGGAGGTACGGGGGAGACGGAAGAGACTTACAGGGAAGTGGGGAGTAGCACCGCTCGAGGAGCGCTGGAGGCCTGTCACTGGCATAGGGAATCCTGGCTGGCTGGAGTTTTGCGGAAGGAAAGATTGCAAGGGAAGGGAGAATTTCCAACTCTCATGTGTCTCATGTGCCTCACAGATATATTAAAAAAGCACAATAAGGACTATAATGAGGAAATAAATGTCATAAAAATGTTTGATAGCAGATGGGACATAGAAACGTGAAGAAATGCCAATAGCTTCCAGCCAAGAGCAATAAGAGAAAGAGTTTGGTCTAGATGACCTTGAAGCTCCATTCCAACCTTGCAGATTCTGTAATCCTATACTTTGGTTCACTTTATTAAATTTCACTAGCATTTATATGCCAGCTACCACCTATGTAGTCTATGTGCTGTGGTGGGGGGTGGGAGTGGGAAGGGGAGATGATATTGTGTATAATCTAGTTCCCTGCTACAAAGGAGAGCTGTGCATTCTGGGGAAGAAGATCTTGCAATAAAGATATAAAATAAAAACTATAACGCATTCCAGAATGAGTAAATGACCTTAAAGGATTATAATGGAAGCTCTGGAGGGAGAGTGGACAACTTAGAGCCATCTACAAACGTGTTAGGGACAGGCGAAGGCACTTACAAGGCAGAGGAAAGCTTATGTCTAGTAGGGGTAAGAAAAGGGCTTTAGGAATAATCATTTCAGAGGCAGAATTCTGGAAAATGACTCCCACTGAATCACACTGTAACTCCCTGTCTTTGAGTGCCGGTGGGACCTGTGACATGATTCTAGCCAATAAGCTACCTCAGAGCTGGCGATGCCACTCCTATGATTAGATCATGTTACATAGTACAGGCAAAGAGATGATCACACATTTGAAGAGGTAAGTTGGCATTTGTCAGAGTTCTACTTGGCAAGGACCTATCGGGCTCAGGTTGTTGAGAGTGTCTCCCAGCTGACAGTCCACAAGAAGCAGGACCTCAGTCCCACAACTGCAAGGGATGGCATTCTGCGACAAACAGGACCCTGAAGTCCAGAAAGGCAGGGAGGTTGGAGGTCCCCCAGACTGCAGTCTTGTGAGGCCCTGGGCAGAAGATGCAGCTAAGGTATGTCTGGACTTCAGACCAACAGAAACAACGAGATAATAAAGGGATATTTCTAAGCCACTGAGTTTGTGGTAATTGTTACACAGCAATAGAAAATGAATACTACAAGCTATCATGTCTGACCAATGCTTTGAGTACATGTTGGGGGTCAGTGGGAACTAAGGCTCAAGAGATGCTTTGGAATGAGACAATTTAGTCTTGTTCTAATCCAAATTAGAATCTATGTAGTGAATGGAGTCTGGTTCAGATGAAAGTGAAATGAAATGCCAGTGTTGGGGGACACCATGTGAGTCATCATGCTCTGCGGTAGTGACAGAGGCGTGGTTTGGGGAATAAGTAGAGGAGTGAATCCCAGAAGCACGTAGCAATCAGCCCCATACTATATTTCTAGCACTTGCCTGGCATGGTAGCTGCTATTTTGCAACAACTATGATAATTTCATCTGGGGCTGTTGCCCTCCCTTTAGAGTTCACAGTGTATACAAGTGTCCAGTCCCCATGTGGTACACATGAAGCTGATATAATAGGGTATGTCAGTTATACTTTAATTTGAAAAACACCCAAGCAAGTGCTATCAAAAGGCACAAGGCAGGGATGAATTATGTCTGGATGGAACTGCCGTGGAGCCCTGGAAGTAGGAGGTGGACAGGAGCCTTAGGGACTCCCTAGCCCTCTCTCAGATGCATGACTCTGCAAAATTTCTAATAAGTGTGCATTCTCCTGAGTAACTACCAACAGAACACTCCCTGCTAGGGAAATACTGGATTGGTTGGCCTCACCAGTCATGACAAGACTCTCTTACTCTGAGCTGTAATTTCATGGAAAATCAGAGAAGTGCCTTTCAAATGATCCATACAAAAGACGAGAAAACTAAGACCTAAGAGGAGAAGGTACTTGTCCAAGCTCCCAGGGTCAACACATGGCAGGCCACATAACCTGCACCCCTTCTACCACCAGCCTCCCAGGTACAGGACTGACAAATGTAGGAGGAAGAATTCACTTAAAGATGTCAACTGCTAGGGATGAAAAGACTTTGCCTTTTGAATTTATATACAAATCTAATAATTGCCCAAGCGTTATTATAGCCACTAGACAGAGCACCCTGTTTGTTACGAGTACAGTCATCTCTCTGCCCATCTGCTCTTCTTGACTACTTCCACTCCAATTTATTTGTTAAATATGTGTTTATTGCATCACTTTGTACCTTTCCCTTTAGAAAAGCACTGCTAGCAGCAGGCTCGAGTTTCCTTCTAGGGTTGGACTCCATTAAAATTGGGAGGTGTTGTCCTTCCTTTTCTATATCTAGGAATATCTCCCCTGGCCTTCCTCTTCATTTCAAGTAGATTCTAGAAACAATAATCACCCTAGTACTTGAATTGTAATAGTTCTCCAGATCCAGAGGTACAGAATTGTATCACCACAGTAACAGATATTTCGATGGCAGCTGAGCAGATGATACAGCTCAGGGCCACACCCACAGAGGCTCTCTAGGACGAGGTCTTTCTCCTCCTTGCCCTGGAATTCTTCCATAGGGAGGACAAAAAGGACATGAGAAGAAGGAGAGAAAAAAGAGGATCATGGTAGAAAAGAAGAAATTGAGGAAGTGAGACCCAGTAAATAGACATATTAAGAGAAGAGAAGAGAAGGGGAGCATAGAATGTTAAGCGTAAGACTTTGTCCTGACCCAGCACATGACAAGCAGCTTATCATCCTGTGTATGCACCAGACATAGTTTTCTGGACTGCGATGCTGTGGCCAGTCCAGTCCTGCAACCACCCATCCACTACACACAGATCGATGTCCTGGAAATGTGGGTGGAGATGAGTGACTATCTCAGAATGCAGTGAAGTGCCCGTAGCCAGGATGGCAGAGTGAAGCCATTTGCATGCTTACGGGAGAGTCTATCAAGGACCCCATCTGATAGGAAACAGCTCCAAGTGCAGACTTGTCCCTGAGAAGCATTTCTGGGAAAGATCATAAAACCACAATCAAATGACCACACCGCTTTCTGTGATAAGTACACACTGAGTAGTTCATGTGTGGGCTTTGGACAGAAATCGAAGTCTCCAGATTGACCGCTGGACTGCCAGTGGTCCTAATGACTTCACTGGCCTTGACATGTGAGGAAGCAGGACATGTACCCATTAGAGGCAAATTTTTATTAGAATAGCCATTCCAGGGATGATTAGCAACTTGTAAAGAATGCAATTACCACTTAAGCTGTATTCAGCTGAATACATTTTAACTATAATTGAAAACAAATGTATGCTTAACTGTATGGTTAAGTCTCATGATTGTGACTATCTTATTATTTTCCATTAATTACAAAAACATGTGCTGGGATTTATTTGCAATTAAGCAGTTGCAATTCGATGAAGGCTCAAAACAGACTTCTTTACTTAGTGTGTGTTCTTAGAGGGGCACAGCTTAGCATGGGCCACTATGACTTTTGCCACTAACGTCTCAGATCCACTAAAATGATGAGAAAAGACATAGATACACTTTTGTTGCCATTCTTTTTGAAGAACATTTTAAACTCATCAAACTCATCCTTACTCTTATGTCATAGGAATGATGATGGTCATCGGTGACTAAGGCCACCTGAACATTTCAATCTTGACTTTCAGAAGAAATTACTGTTGATCATTAAAAGGAGGACATCGGGCTTTGAGTTACCGTAAATACTGTGTCTGTTGTCGACCACATGTGATTGTCAAGAATCTCATGGTATTTTTTTGCCACAGAGTAGGTGTTTCATTTCAATGTGCTAGGGAAGTTTGATTTTAGGAGCATTTGATAAAATTATATGACTTGCCTTTGGAGAACACATTTCAGTCTTTTAGATCTGAAAATAAGAGCTCTGGCTCTAGAGTTCTAGTTTGCTGTGATATCAGGACATGCCTTTATATCTCTGAACCTTAGTTTTGCCATCTGTAAAACCAGGATAACAAACCTGATCTTATCAAGCTAAGAGGGATATTCTGAGACTGCTGGTGATGACAGCAGTGGAAGGGTTTTAAAATCTGTAAAGAATATTTCCAAGGTCAAGATCGTCATAACAAGAGTCTCCTTCTCACCACAGACCCACGGGGTCGGTCTCACTGAATGCAGCAATGTCTTGACACTTAGCAGATGCTCTGTAAATGTCTTCTGGAATGTGGCCATGGTTTCATGGTATGCATCATTAATGGTCGTCATGACACATTTAGGACAGGCACACACAAATGAACCTCATCCACAGATGGGGGGTTTGAAAGAAAGGGCCCAGTCTTTGAGATGATAGGCTGCTGGAATACCTCCTGTAGAGTCTCTCTAAGTGTCTTCTTCCGCTTGCTCTTCCACTGGCTCTCCTGATCCTCCTGTCCCAACCCGCTAAGGGATTCTCCTTGGTCATTGCCCTGTTTCACCTTCCTTTGATCATCATCCTTACTGTCAATTTAAGGCATACCTCTGAGCTTCCAGGTTCTTCGCTGAACACAGACATCTACTGTATACTGTATCTCCCAGGAGATGTTAACCCAGTGGGA